GATTAAAATAAACATTGGGAAGGACGTACAAGTGGGAAATCTTCTAAATCTTTGCTTGACGAAGGGCTGCAATAAGAAATAATAAGAAATAAGGAAAGTAAATTTGTGCGAAATATGCGAAAGTTCTAGAATAACAAGTATTAACGGTGCTTCAGAAATAGCCTGAAAGCAGTGTGTGAACTTTGGAACTTCCTTGTCCGATTGAATATAATGAGGGAAAAAAGCGTTTGTAAATAGGATGGACAAGTGGGCCAAGAAAAAAAAAGTAACACTTAAGTTTCACAATTAGCGTCAGAAAACACTATGAGTTGTAAATATGATTAGATAAATATGATTAAAGTGTAAAAAAGAGTCTAGAAAAGAAATCAAAGCAGGAAGGCTAAAAAGAAGAACTAAGAACTTCAATATTTTATAAGGAAATAATAACCGTATATACAGATAGGACGGAAGGTAAAACATAGAGAACATAATAAGGCTCTAAATAAAAATAAATGGAAAGCGAGGCATGGCAGATTAGGAAAAATTAAGCACCCTATACGAGTGCCCTAGGCCATGAATCTATCTGCTGTTAAGTACCATAACAGAATAATAATGTAAAAAGTAACTTTAATGCTCGGTTTGCAGAGCGGCTGCCTTCTCAAAATTAGGGTAAGGTGATTAGGGTAGAGGGAGTGAAAAGTTTGAAATTGAATTATATGTAGGCTGGAGAGAATCGACTTTAGGCTGGTGCGCAAGCTTCTCTCGTCCGAGAAAAGATAAGCTCTCACGAAGGGAGGTTAGAACGTTTTGGATCTGAAGTTATCAGAGAAAAATAGAAAATTGGCGTTACGCTTTCTATGAAGCTAAAATAAGTAACACTAATTGAATGTGCAGGTAATACTAAGTCTAATAATATTCTATGGGCACAAAAAGAACAAAAACATTGGTCCGAAGTGGGCACAATAGAATGACGAATATAAAAGAGGAAAGAGCTATTGCCTGACGAGAGGCAAATCACTAATAAGGACTATGTAGGATAATAAGCTTGAGGACATGATATTAAGGTTTCTTAAAATTAAATTAGAAGTAGCTGCCTCATTTATCCTTGTCTACCTAAAGAAGTTCCCATCCTACAGACTGCAGCTTTGAGCTCACACTATAGGCTATTCAACCCCCTCAACGGGATTCATAAACGGATCACGCGTGTAAAAAGTAATACTATACCAATAAGCCTCAGAGCAATTTATGTCAACGGTTCAATAAATAAATGTGCTACTACGTAACCATAGAAACAATGTGAATCTATGAAAAAGAACTGTATCGAAGCCTACTTAATTTAAATACAATTCATACATATTGTGGAATAGGTCTTGATAAGATAAAATTGGATTTGCCCTTAAATGCTAAAATATTTCTATCACATCAAGAGAACTAAAGTTGCTGATTTTACTGCCAGATACTAGATATTCATGGCAAAGTTCAATGTAAATATCATATAGAAAGTGATTATAGAATGTAACCTTGGGAAATATAAACACAATAGTCAAGAGGCTTAATAGGACTGATGCAGACAATCACCTATGAAGTGTAGGCTGAGGATAAGAGGTCTCGGCATAAGACCAAGCGAAGATAGAAGAACTATATCCTATGACTCGTATATAAAATAGAAATAATAATCCATTTTTAAAAATATTGGGACATAAAATAGCATGTGGCCCAGATATCAAAATTGGCTGAGAAGATTGCCAAAACAGAATGCAAATAGGAGTCTACCTATTTAACTAAAATAATTTCAGGAGAAAAAAGGGTCAACAAAATATCAAGCTAGGATAATTTTTAAGATAATCTCATCACACCTCAATGAGGAGACGACTCATTTCTTCAAAATCAGAATATACAGCCGCGTCTGGCCTAGAGGATTTTAGGACAGCTTCTGCGTATTCTGGCGACTTATCATTCAAGCCGCGAAAAATAGGCAAACTCGGACAATTTTTCAGAATTGGGTGGCCTGAAAATTCCATGTGCAATTGGCCGAGATCAGCCAGCAAAAGATCGAGTTTGCCGGAATTCTGGAAAAGGAGGGACTCGAGTATAGAAGGCTCGATAGCTGCCTTGGACGGAAATGAAGGTTTTATAGATTGATGTTTCTCCTGATTTCGAAGGCCTTGGTAGTGCCGATGATTGGATGCAGAAGGAAGGGGGTGAACAGGAGGATAGTCTGTTGCGTCTGGAGCTAAACGAGCAAGTGACGAAAACAAAGAAGAGGTGCATTGACTAGGCGAAATATTACATCCATCGGTGGGGCCCCAACGTTTAGCAGCAGAGATACGGGAATCGTGGGCGAGTAGTTGCTTAGCCAGATTGTCTAATACGCCAAAACGAAGGTGTATCGTCCAAAGGCATACTATAAAAACCAGGGTTCTGTTAAAGGGTTGAAAGAGTGTTTATATTAATCAAATAGTGAGCAACCAGAACAAGCATAGAACAAAAAATTAAAATTCCCACTGATTTTTTTGTAATTTGGGATAGTATGCTCGATTCTGAAAGATAAACTGAAATTAAAACGCCCTAAAGCAAAGCGAAAGGTTTCGATAGCGCCAGCCCAGCAAATAGTAGTAACAAATGTAGATGGATCTGCTATAAAAATGAAATAGGAAACAAGCCACAGACAGTAGACCACCATACAAATATGAGATATATTCACCCTATTTAGTTTGAGGTGATGAAGGACTATGAAGGAATGGTAGTAGAATTTTTCAACAATCATAAGAGTAGAGCTGACGATTCCATTGAATCCATTTCATTGCTTTCCCAAAAGTTGTTCCCATTTAGGCACCAGTGGACTGCAGTTTCGATCTCGCATAGGCATTATCAACACACCTAGCGGAAGTCGAATGGTAACGGTGCACGTTAACCCCTCGGCCACATTGCCACGAGTACCCTTGGGTCACAGGGCAGATGTGAATTTCAAGGAAGGCCAGGCCTTTTTCTATATAACATTCTTTGGTGGGATTGTCGATGAAGAAAAAATATTTTTACCATAACAATCGAATACGTTACTTATTTTTCGTGTCAGTAGTAACTGATTTACTGGTAGTCTTGAGACTCTACTGACACACGAAAAATAAGTAACGTAGTCGATTGTTATAGCAAAAATACGTTTTATTCATCGACAATCCCACCAAAGAATGTGATATCAGAAAAGGCCTGGTCTTCCTTGAAATTCACATCTGCCCTGTGACCCAAGGGCACTCGTGGCAATGCGGCCAAGTGGTTAACGTGTCAAGCTCACATTCTACACTGTCACGGTTCGACTCCAACTGGGGGCGTTGATAAGACCTATGTGAAATTCAATCGAGATGTCAGCTCTACTCATATCATTGTAGGAAAATTCTACTACCAGTCCTTTATCACCTTAAACGAAATAGCGTAAATATATCTCATATTAATGATTTATTGGTAGTCTCGAAACTCTACTGACACACTAAACAAATGTCATTTTAGCTGATCCTTCTAAAATCATTTGTTTGTTTTAAATGCCAAAGGAATAGAAGCAATTTAAATTTTATAGACGAAATCTTTTCCTCCGAAGTTAAGACTAGCCATCAGATTCGAGAAAAGAGGTCAGGAAGTGGAAGTGATGAACGAATTCTTGGAATATATCTGCATAAAAATCCTCCTTTCCATAAAATAGGTTGAATAAATCAGGATATAATAACCGGAGTAGTTCGATAGCAAAACTTTAGAGTTAAGGATAACCTAATAGTGTATGTAGGGTTTTGATTTCCTATAGGTTTTTCATATCTGCATAGTCTATTGGTACATTCTAGATGCAAATATAACTTGGAAAGCTAACATTCATTCTAAGTCAGTGGCTTTAGGGCTATCTGATCGACCATGTAGCGTATTTGCTCATGAGCGCCCACAGCAAGAGTACGAATCAAGCCGGGGATACAGCTAAGCTAAAGATGTGGATAGAATATCAGTTCATTAAGAATTGAAAATCTTCTATTGAATAAAATGCACATTGTAATTGTCTGTCTTTAAAATTCGGCGTGAGTAGTTCAAGTTCTTATTCACATATTGGAAATATTTCAAGAATCTTTCTTTATAACAAAAGTGAGAGTAATAGTTGTAGTTGTAGTTGTAGTATTCATTTCATGAAAAACAAAAGCAAACTAATTAACATGAAAGCCATCTTAATTTTACTCAGACAAAAAATTTAAAGCAAGTTTTTAATTTGAATCAAGCTTTATAAGGACGAGAAACGAGAATTCTAGAAAGGAATAAATGCAGTTGAAGATGAAAATGAGCTTACATAAGCAGCAATGTGAGCCAGGCCCAGTCGATGCGGGCACATAAACTTCTCACTTGATACAACAAAGAATAGCCCTGGCCGAAGGACCGCCTGACATAACCAAAGCTCGGCTTGCGGTAAATGATACTCAACTTTCCGGAATTAATATCAGCTGTGGATGCTGAAGCAGAAGTAATTCGTCTGACGTGATTGGACTGGCTGACACTGGAGGAGTGTGGAAACTTTTCGGTCGGGGAAGAGGGAGAGCCACAGGATGGGTCTTGAGCGGCGGAATGATAGTTTGGCTCGCCAATTTTAAGATGAGGCTTGCCAGAAGAGGCTAAGTGGCGCTTTCTGAGAAAAATAAAATTATTATTTGAATTGGAAATAATGAAAGATTATCGTTTTTAAACGAATATCCTATCATATTAAATAGCAAATAACTGTGAAGACACCAGCAATGATTAGATCAGTAGATCTCCGAGCTCTCATAGAGAATTAAGTTGTGAAATAAAAGTGGTTTCTGTAAGCTCACAGGGTAAAATTTTCTCTCAGCTTTATCTAAGAAAAATGGGCCTTGTGATCTACTAGTTGAGTAAAAGGTAAGCAAAACTGAGTCGCTTAAGTTTATTTTAAGGATTTTTAGTTGGTTTTTATTCCAATAAAATGAATAGGTCTGAGAATGCAGCTGGATTTCATTCAGCCTCGTCTTCTAAAAGGCTTGGAATAGGTTACTTCGGCTCCCTATATCACATAATGCTCCTCAAATGGATTCGATACCGAGTAATGAGTATCGTGACGATATAAGTCACCACTCGCTTATACAGCAATGGGTGACAGTGAAGCATATTCAAAGCAAATCATGCCTTAGCAAAATCACATTTATATTAGTAATATAGATTAAATAAACATAATCGACGACGGTAATTGTTGTCGATGTAAGTAAAGTAGCTGGTCTCAATTATAAATCCTTCATATAGCCTACATTTTTCCATTTTTTGAGGCTATAATAAGTAGGGAGATTACAGCAAGTTAATCTTCCTGTCTTAGCGCCCGGTGAAAATTCGGCGATAGACGGATTAATCGGGGTCGCATAAAGGTGTGCTGAGGACTTAGTCGCACAAACCTAATCGCAACTTAAAGACAATCTTAATTTGGTTTTAGATTTGTATTCATCTGGACATTAAAGAAAAATATAAATGAGTTCGTAGCTATACTCTCGAAGGCAGTGAAAGATTAACCCAGTATTAGACATGAATATCAATCAAGAAACGTCACATGACAGGTTATTAAAAAAAAGAAGACTAATTAGACCCAATGATGGTGCTTCTGATCACTACGATCTTCAGCAATAAGTTATTATAAATGTCACTGGAGCGAAGCGCTTCAAAATCAAGGAACAACAACTGACGCTCCTATCCATTCCCATATTTAAGTTTAGTTGATAAATCGGGCTTAGATTTTCCCGTTAACATCCTTTTGAACCCACTATCTTTGATTGTTGACATTAAATATTTTAAACAGAATAAGGCGATCATAATAAATGTTTAAAAGAGTGGCACTAAATGTGGCCTCAGATCACAGCAAAATGGATCGTAAGACTGTACAAATTGATAAGTATGTAACTTTTTATACTTTTATTGACATAAAAGACATGAGACTTAAAATAGTGAATTTCAAACTAGAGGAAATGATGGATTATCACTATTAAATATAAGAAGTGGAGATATTTATACGACCCCTGTAAAAATATGCAATGGGCCTACAGTAGTCGTTATTTTAACTTGATGTATAAGTTTGGCTCGTATATTCAATCGAAACGATGTATTTTCGCAGAAGTCTGAGGGAGGAGTGATCTCATCCGAAAATTTGCGTATGACTATGATCGATTTCGCTGCCAGGAACTTCACCAAACAACTTTCACTCGAAATGGAAGTAAGCTCAACAATTATGAAACAAGAGATTCCTCGAAACCCAACTTTTCTTAGCAAATAATAACACTTTCGAATTATTCCATGAAGGAATAGCTAAATCTCAAAATAGTGCTCCACATGCACGAAAAATATAGGTACCAAATTATGTTAATTACCGAAACTACATCAAGTACTATATAAATCAACCTAAACAATTTTCAAATGCAAGTGTACACAACATTTTATGATTCTAAACTATAACGAGTAGACAGCATCTCTTTGCTCGAAGTAAGTGGTATAACTGTAAAGTATATAAGTAGAGTTTCGAGTACATCTCATATAACTGTAGTGGTAAAAACCGGTTAGGTAGAACCCAGCTTGAAATTGTCAGCCAAAATCAAATAATTGTATGTAGACATGAATATTCATGAGGTCGTCTGGTGACATAATCCAGATTAAGCACTCACAACATGCTTTAAAATAGGTCAAATGCTTTAAAATGATATCCAGATAGTTTACATGATAAATTAAATATGGTTATTGACCAAGAAACAAGCTAATCTAAAGGCTCAAATATTAAACAAAAAGAGGAAATAATGCTTAAATTTAAGGGTGTGGCTCGGATTTTTAGGGAGGTTATTCACGTGGCTATTATATTTTAGGTCAATGTTAATAAACCTTATGCTTTCTCCAAGCCAACAAACGGAACTAATATTATTAGAGTGATTCACATTCTAAAGCTCTCTAGCTCCACAATTCCTTGTTAGACGGCACTCAACTTTTGTTTAGCAAACTCTCAAAAGCAAGTTTGCATAAACCCGGAAACAATCTAAGAAGCACAAAACACTTTAGACAAAG